TTATGTAACCAAAACTGGAAAGTTGGCATAGCTGGTCGGCAACAAGAGAGCAGAGTATCTGTTGTAGATTATTCTTATGGAATGTTTACTCTCTTTTCATGTAAGTATCTGCCAGAAAATATGAGGGTCACCAAAACTCTTCTGGCAGCAGATACACCTTTCCATCAATGCTGACCAAAGTTTATTACATTCTCTTCCTGAAGGAGACTTGGGGGTTAAATGAGTCTTCTGACCGCCAATTACCGATAGCCTCTCCCCCCCGCACACAACTGCACTTATAGCTATTGGATTATTATTATTATTATACAGTATTTATAAAGCGCCAATAGTTCGCTCAGCGCTGTACATTACAAAGGGGGACAGAACATGTGACAGAACAATACCAATACAATGCAAAACATGAGGGGATCGAGGGCCCTGCTCTTTCGAGCTTACAATCGGATATATTTATGTGTTGCTATATGTCTTGGCTTTTCCATTTTGTTTTTGCACTTGATAAAGTTATAACCTTACTTGATAATTTTCTTATATAAGGATTGCTGGCTTTCCATATTCAGCTCATTTAACTATACTCCATAAATTTCTATTGTTGTGTTCAAACTCTTACTTTAGTAACTGAACCTTATTCCCGAGCCCCATTCAATAAGATGTGAAGCTTTAGTGAGCATCTCATATATATATATATACAGTTGTGTTCAAAATAATAGCAGTGTGTTGAAAAAAGTGACTAAAGAATCCTTCTAATAGCTTTTATTTCCATCCACACAAATGCATTGGGAACACGACACATTCTATTCCAAATCACAACATGAAGAAAAAATACATCAAATTTGAGTTGTTCCTCTTAAAAAATTGAAGAAAAGAGAATATTAGACGGTTCATAAAAATGGCAGTGTTTGTATTCTTCTTTACAAACTCAAACATTCACTATATAAACTGAGAAATGTTTGAAGATTTTGCTTTCCTTTGAATGACTTCATGAATATTTGGTTGTAGTCGCACTGTTTCTGAGAACTGCTGTACATCTGTGTGTTGCATGGAGTCCCCCAACTTCTGGCCCCTGTGATCAGGTATTCCAGCCCAGGATGATTGGACCACATTCCACAGTTCTTCTCTATTTCTTGGTTTTGCCTCAGAAACGGCATTTTTGATGTCACCCCACAAGTTTTCTATTGGATGAAGATCCGGGGATTGGGCTGGCCACTCCATAACGCCCATCTTGTTGGTCTGGAACCAAGATGTTGCACGTTTACTGGTGTGTTTGGGGTCGTTGTCTTGTTGGAACATCCATTTCAAGGGCATTTCCTCTTCAGCATAAGGCAGCATGACCTCTTCAAGTATTCTGATGTATTCAAACTGATCCATGATCCCTGGTATGCGATAAATAGGCCCAACACCTTAGTATGAGAAACATCCCCATATCATGATGCTTGCACCACCATGCTTCACTGTCTTCACAGTGTACTGTGGCTTGAATTCAGTGTTTGGGTTTCGTCTGACAAACTGTCTCCGGCCACTAGACCCAAAAAGAACAATCTTACTTTCATCAGTCCACAAAATGTTGCCCCATTTCTCTTTAGGCCGGTCAATGTGCTCTTTGGCAGATTGTAACCTCCTCAGCACGTCTTTTTTCCCAACAGTGGGACTTTGCGGGGACTTCTTGCAGATAGCTTGGCTTCACATAGGCGTCTTCTAATTGTAACAGTCCTCACAGGGAACGTCACACCTTCTTTTCATCTTCCTGGAGCTAATTGTTGGCTGAGTCCGCCCCATGTTGGCTATTCTTCTATCCATTCCAATGGTAGTTTTTCGCTTTCTTCCACGTCTTTCAGGTTTTGGTTGCCATTTTAAAGCATTTGCCATCATCTTAGCTGAGCATCCAATCATTTTCTGCACTTCTTTTTTCCCCTCTTCAATCAACTTTTTTTAATCAAGATACGCTGTTCTTCTGAATAATGTCTGGAACGACCCATTTTCCTCAGAATTTCAGAGAGAAATGCACTGTAACCAGCATGTGCAACATTTGCTGCCTTCCTTCCTTAAATAAGGGCAATAATTGCCACCTGTTTATCAAAGAATGAATGACCTCACTAATAGAACTCCACACTGCTATTATTTTGAAAACGCCCCTTTCAATGAGGGATTCAAAGACACAGAATGAGCAGCATGCATGTCATGACTGTTGGGTCTGTTGGATTTCTATTACTCTACTACACCTGCTAGGAGAAGGAATATTATTTGCCATGTAGAAATATCATTTCCACCAAAAACAGTGATTGATCCGGTTAGTGATGTCTGACTGCTATTATTTTGAACACAACTGTAAGTATATCAATGTGGGTAATAGTATTCATATTTGAAACATTTCTATAGTTTTTCTAAAACAATTTGTTTTCTTCTTAATAATTCAACGTTTTCTTTTTTTGCTCTCCAGGATACTATGGCCTCCATTACTCATGGTGTTGAAGGATTTCTGAATAGAATGATCTCGTTCTATTCACAAGAAATAAAGCAGGTAGACTTACAGGAGTACTTCACCATTATGAAGGAACTTGGAGAAGGTGGATATGGAAGAGTATTATTGGCAAAGGACAAGATAACAGGTCAGTGAACTATTCTAAGTACCGTTTCAGTATCCTCTGCAAATATGTATGTATATGTTTGTACATTTGTACACTATAGATTTTATATTTATTAAATCTCCATAAATATATCATGCTTAAATATTTTTTCATGTTGGTAGAATGATTTAGGGAAATAAGCATTGGGCTGATTCTTGGGAGCAGTTATGCAAATAATAAAATGCCTTGATGGGTACATATCTGTCTGGAGGAGTGGACTGTATTTCCATGCAGACTGTCCTAGATAATGATCACATGTGATGCTGAGCCTCCATGATTAAAAGGACAGACATATAATGAATGAAAGGGGCAGGCCAGGAATAGTCAGGCTGGGAAGGATAGGATGCTAACAATTAGAGATGAGCGAATTGAACTTGGCGAAGTGGAATTCGTTTTGAATATTAGGAAAAATTTGATTCGCACCGAATCCGAATATTAGCAAACTTCGGATGCGCGAATCGAATTTTTCCCGATCGGCCGATTTTCATCCCCTCTACAGCCGGCAAAAAGTGTCCCTGCAGAGAGCTCTGCTATTTCTGACAGTTCTCTGACAGTTCCTTCACATTTACAGCGGTTGAAACATTGTATCTATTTGTTTCCATTTAGGATACAGATGTTTTTATTCGGAAACAAATAGATACAATGTTTCAACCGCTGTAAATGTGAAGGAACTGTCAGAGAACTGTCAGAAATAGCAGAGCTCTCTGCAGGGACACTTTTTGCTGTACTGGAATTCTTCTTCTTTTCATTCTTCTTCTTCTTTTCATTCTTCTTCTTCTTCTTTTCATTCTTTTCATTCTTCTTTTCATTCTTCTTCTTCTTTTCATTCTTCTTCTTCTTCTTTTCATTCTTCTTTTCATTCTTCTTCTTCTTCTTCTTTTCATTCTTCTTCTTCTTCTTTTCATTCTTCTTTTCATTCTTCTTTTCATTGTTCTTCTCATTCTTCTTTTCATTCTTCTTCTTCTTCTTTTCATTCTTCTTCTTCTTTTCATTCTTCTTCTTCTTCTTTTCATTCTTCTTTTCATTCTTCTCATTCTTCTTTTCATTCTTCTTTTCATTCTTCTCCCTGTCATTCTTCTTTTCATTCTTCTTCTTCTTCTTTTCATTCTTCTTCTTCTTCTTTTCATTCTTCTTTTCATTTTCTTCTTTTCATTCTTCTTCTTCTTCTTTTCATTCTTCTCATTCTTCTTTTTTCATTCTTCTTTTCATTCTTCTTCTTCTTCTTTTCATTCCTCTTCTTCTTCTTTTCATTCTTCTTCTTCTTCTTTTCATTCTTCTTTTCATTCTTCTTTTCATTCTTCTTCTTCTTCTTTTCAAACTTCTTCTTTTCATTCCTCTTTTCATTCTTCTTTTCATTCTTCTCATTCTTCTTTTCATTCTTCTTTTCATTCTTCTTCTTCTTCTTTTCATTCTTCTTCTTCTTCTTTTCATTCTTCTTTTCATTCTTCTTCTTCTTCTTTTCATTCTTCTTCTTCTTCTTTTCATTCTTCTTTTCATTCTTCTTCTTCTTCTTCTTCTTCGTCGTGCCCCATGACTGCCCAAATGAGTGAAGTGTGCGGTGATTCTAAGATCGACGGCACTCATCTGCATGTCATACTGACTGACAGTATTATTTGGGTTTGTCTGACTTGCTGAAGCTTCCGATGCACAATGAGAGACTATCCCTGTGTTCAGTGAAATCAGAGTAGTAGGACATTTCAGCCCAGGAAAGGTTCTTGTACAGCTGATTGATGGCTGAAATTTAGCTATGAATGAAGCATAATACATTCTCAAACATTTTAATAAAACCCGTTGCTCGAAGATTGAGATTTTCAAGTGGATAGAAAAAATGATCAGCTAAAAATTTCCATTTCTTAATCAAAGTTAAATTATTTTTTTTTACAGGTCAAAGAATGGCATTGAAGACCATGGATAAAAACAGAACCAGCCAGCGGTCTTTCCTCCAGGAGTTCTGCGTTTCATACTTTCTTTCATCTCATCCCAATATCATTGGATGTAATGGCATCGCCTTCACCACCATCGACTACTTTGTGTTTGCCCAGGAACTAGCCCCTGTTGGTGATCTCTTCTCCATGATTACACCATACGTAAGTACATTAAGGTTTCAGTATGCCCTTTTTTTTAAAGTTTTGGATAAGGGAGGGATAAAAAATGTTTTGCAATGCTCATCACTTTGTCTTAATGATGGAGATCACCGGAACATTTATAAAAAGAGAATCTCTTTTGGGGGAACACAAACGGCAATAGACTCCACTCCTAGTCTAAAACTAGATCAAAAGTGATGGCCATGCTTATACTTTAACTGATTCTGAATTACTCTTTATATTCTATCTTACTGTATTTAACAACTATTGTATTTTGATTTTGTATTCCTAGGTGGGAATTCCAGAAGACTCAGTTAAGAGGTGTGCTCTTCAGATCTCCAATGCTCTCGAATTCATATCCGAGAAAGGACTGGTGCATATGGATTTGAAGCCAGAAAACATTTTGGTGTTTGACCAGGACTGTCACTTCATCAAGATCACAGACTTTGGCCTTGCGAAGGTCAGAGGGACAGTGATAACATCCAGGTGTGGTAGCAAAACCTACATGGCCCCAGAACTACGTGACATGACCATTACGGATGGACTGGTTGTAGATGGCAGCCTTGATGTGTGGGCGTTTGGTGTTACCATCTACTGCCTACTCCTAGGGGAGTATCCATGGCAGGTGGCCATGCCTGAAGATGAAGGATATAGAGGTTTTGTTGACTGGCAAAACAATTTTCATATGGACAATCCTCCTGAAGCATGGAGAAAGATTTCAACTGGAATAAGAAGGATGTTTGGTGTGATTTTGGCCATTGACTTTTCTAAAAGAAGTAAATCTACAGAAATCCTGAAATACATGAACGAAAGCTGGAAGGAAGAAATCCCAGATGCAATCACAGGACAAGAAGATGAGGATCCCATCAAAAGCAGCTCTGTACAATCTGAGGTAACCTCCATTTCTCACCTGAACACCTCACAGCGTAGTGTTACTAACAAGTCCTTGTCTTACTTTTTGACCACAGACACTTCTGTATCTCAGTCTGAGATGACTCCATTGCCCCAGAAGGATGACATGGAAGAAAGCACTGATCATATTCGATGATGAGTTCTCCTTACTTGTTGGTGCAGAGGTAAACATTGGATGAAGAAGAATCATGAGTGATGGTGCGTCCGAAAGAACATCACATATGGCCAACTTCCCCAGGTATGTACCTTTCTCAATTCACAATTTAATCTTTTAGGGCCATGTCACACTAGCAGTTCAGCACTAAGTCATCACTTTTTCCACCACAATATCCATCACTGATTTTGCTTTGATACTAAAGCAATCCAGTTTCAGTCAATAAATAGCCGCCACCTTATCTTCCTATAGAGGGATTATATTCTTTTAGAGGCTCTCTGTACCTCTTCTGATCTGCAGATCTCTATAAAATGTATTACCAATCTACCAAGAATGTTGTAACACACTAAACTTTTCATCCCAACTCTACATTTTTGTAAGAATGGCAGGGGTGCAGTCTATACCTACATACTTGCATTATGCGTCCTTCACTTTCATCTCAGATGGTTGGGGGGGGGGGGGGGGTACGTCAGCGATAGAACTCTTGTTAGCAACTCACAAAGGGGTTGGGTTAGGCCTTGTAGTTCAGAAGTTTAAAGTGAAGCTTGAATCAAAGGGGCCGATACTAAAGTCCTTCTAGCTAACAATGGTAATAGCAGGACTCTTGTTGGATATGATATAGAAGTTTGCGGTAAAATATTTGAAATTGTTAGTATTTTATTATGGCATTGCCAAGACCATTTATAGTACATTATGAGAGAGCCTTAGTCATTATTTTTTATATGAATCTAGAGCAGTCAGATCAGTGAAGGATGGTTGCTTATTGGTTGCTGTAGGTCTCTATCCATTTTTATTTTGTCTTTTTGACTAGATTTGTCTACTCTGGGGATAGTTTGTAATTTACACAACCACAATCTGTCATATAACCTCTTGGAGGAACCTTTTAAACATTTTTGTAACCTTTTTAACTGAACCACAACCGGTGATTTCATTTATTACTCCAGGATACTCAGTTTTTTTCTATATAGATATTCAGAACTGACCACATGCATTTTGTCCTGTTACATTCCCTGTTCATGTTTGCATTTCACAGATCATTTCTATATTTTGCTCTAACAATATTTCTTTACATTTTTCAGATGACAAGTCTGGACTATCCACAGTGGATGAACAAGGCCCCTGCCTGGTACATGGGGGAATGTAACTTGTAGATATATGAGTAGTTACTCCTCCTGTGCACTGGGTGGGGCTCTTGAATTTTTCTCTGTACAGAAAAATGCCCATTGATCCTGCCAGAAATCCTTTGAGTTCATAAATTACTTTTTGAGCTTACACCACTGCCTCTGTTGCATCTGAAATGCTAAGCAGTGTTGTCAGCCAGGTTTAGAAGGACCTGTTTAGCACTGACAGAGGTATATACTGGTATGTCAACCACTTTGCCACATGATTTAACATTTGTAACTGTGTGTACTGGTAAGTCAACCACCAAATTACTTTTTGGTGAATTGGATTCATCATTGAGGCAAATTGTAGCTTCCAGGCAACTCCTGCTTGGAGTAAACCATGAGAATCATATAGTATATCCGGGTAAATAGCATCTTCAGGTTTTCTTTAAATTCACCATTTTCACCTCACTATGTGAATTATTCTCAAAGTTTATCATATTTTTGGGGGCGCATGCGCGGCCGGCTCTGGGATTACAGCTCCGTGAAGAGAGCTCCGCATCCCCCGCCAGCCATAAACCCGGCACTCACCAATCCCAGCAGCGGCACTGACCTCTCCCCACGCTGATAAGGGGACGCAGGTCTCCACTGGATCCCCAGGGAATATGCCCCGATGCCGCAGATCACCAGGGAAGACAGGAAAGCTGACAAGCTTTTTCCCAGCTCTCAGCCCCTGCAGGCAAGATGGTGCCGGCTCCTCACAGACAGATGCCTTACAGACAGAACGGAGACCAGAGCACACCACAGACCCCAGGCTCAAAGCAACATTATACCCTGGAGACCCTGGTGAGTCCTCTCCGCCCCTGTCTCCCACCACAAGTAGCCCTGCTAAGTCCAGACCTAGGCTGGACATAGAAAATCCTCCTGTCACTCAGCCTTCCTATTCTACACTCAATCCTGCTATTTCTACTCCATCCTTAATAGAAAATTTTCCTGCTTCAGACCAACCTATCACTGAACTGTCTATGAACAGTATGCTTCTCTCACTGTGACAAACATTACATGATGACCTGACGACGACACTATCGCAAATTTCAACCGCGGTACAACGACAGGACCACCGTATCGCCATATTGAAAATAAAATGGGGGAAATGTTTCGCAGCTCACAACGACCTAATAGACGCATACACCGACCAGGGCACCGACATAGAACAGATTAACCTCAAACTAGCGGATCCTGAAGACCGCTCTAGGGAACAACATCAAATTCCACGCAATCCCAGAAAACATCAATTCGGACGCCATAGTACCATATTTACAACAATACATGAAACACCTCATTCCTTCCCTATCAGATGTAGAGCTCGTTATAGATCGTGCGCACAGATTACCAAAACCATCGTTCCTACTGGCCCGCAGTCCCTAGGCACATCCTGGCACGTATCCACTTTTACCATGTGAAAGAAAAAAAAATGATGATAGCCACGAGAAACATTGCATCACTACCGCCAGACCAAGCAAATATAAAATTATTTGCAGACCTATCTAAAGCCACTCTTCTAAACCGCAAGAAGCTTGTCACCATAACAAAAGCGCTGTGGAACCACGGAATTGGCTACCAATGGGGTTTCCCCACAAAGGTCATTGTTAAACAACAAGGAAGGTTCTTTACAATTAAATCTCTTGAAGAAGGCATCGAACCTTTTGAAAGTTTGGAAGATCCTATCAGCGGACTCCCACCAACCCACCTCCAACCATACGCAACACATGGAAGCAGAATGGTCAAGATCCTAAGATCACCACCATCAACAACCAACCAACAAGCTGGGACCCTATAAACCACTAATGGCTGGCAGACGGCCCCATTACAACCATCATCAAACTCCAAGTTACCCGTCAATATGACTTACCATGTAAGTCATGTATGTTCAAATCCCCCCGTTACATAGTAGCAATAAGTGCTACACATACCACTTGTGTTTTCAACAAGTTTTTTTTACCCCCTTACCCTCCTACCTATACCAGTCGATTGACTCAACCTCTCCACATTCGAAATAACGTCCTACAAGATGAAACATCCTCATCAAACCAGCGACCACATCCAGCATGTTACCTCTTCTTTGTGGAAACTTCTCAAAAACAACAAAAAGATATGCCATTACTCTACATTATCCATGAAATACCTCTGCTACTTCGAACAACTCGCCTACATCCAGGACTATGATTAAAAATATCATCCTTAAATGTCCGTGGCCTCAACTCACCGTTCACAAGATCTCTACTACAAAAAGAAGCTCGCTCGTTGCAGGCTGATGTCCTATTCCTTCAAGAATCCCACTTTGCCACCAACAAAATCCCCAAATTTCACTTACACCATTTTTCTCCAATCTATATGGCAACCAGCCCCAAAAAAAAGAACGGCGTCATCACAGCCATTAGAGACTCTCTCCAATACCACTGCATCTCAGAAGTCGCAGACCCTCAAGGGCGCTACCATATCCTGATATGCAAAATTAATGGAATCCTGTACACCCTGGTCAACATCTATGGTCCAAACACCAATCAACTCCAATTCTACAACAAAATCAATTCCACTATTTCCGCTCAGAAACAAGGCAGACTAATTATAGGAGAAGACTTCAACATTATCGGCAACCCACTCCTGGACTCTTCTTCTAGCAAACGCTCCTCCAAACAATCGTTTTAACGTCTTTCTACACAAAAATGACCTCTACGACATCTGGCGATGCCATCACAGTACAGAAAAAGACTACACCTACTACTCCCCCTCTCAGCTCTCCTACTCCAGAATTTACTTTTTCATCACGGACAAGTGGACTTTACAACACGCCACATCCTCCAAAATTGGTACCATAACCTGGTCAGATCACGCTCCAATCTCCATCTCCTTAGATCACAATCAACACTCAACAATCCCCTGTATCTGGAGACTTAACACATTCTTATTGAAGAACCCGGACCACAAAAAACTCATATTGGACGCTCACAATATGTTTTTTTTACATAAATGACTCACCTGAAACATCGATACACACACTATGGTCCACATATAAGGCATACATGAGAGGTATCCTTATACAATTAAATTCCCGAATCTCCAAACAGAGAAACCAACAAATCGACAAAATCCTCCTCTCCATTAAAACAAAAGAAGAATTAAACAAAAAATCCCCAAACTCCGCAACATCTGCCCAACTCACCGCTGACAGAAACAAACTTAGAACCCTCCTGCTCTAAAAATCCTCAACCTTCAAAAAAAAAACTACATTCTACTCCCTTAGCAACAAAGCAACTCCTTACTAATCAAAATGATTAAAACAACGACGACTAAGAAATAAAATATCTTCAGTTTATCATCCATCCTCACGATCCCTAACCACAAACCCGCAGGATATAGCTAATGCCTTCTCAACCTATTACCAACAACTATAAAACCTTAAAGACGACCCCAACACCATTCAACCAAACACCTACGTCCATACAAATTCCCCCTGCCTGGTACATGGGGGAACTGTAACTTGTAGATATATGAGTACATATCAACTCCGTCACTACCACTTGAAATTTTCTCTGTACACCAAAAACACTTCCCATTGAGTCTCCAGGCCAGAAACGGTTCCTTTGAGTTCATAAATTACTTTTTGAGCTTACACCATTGCCTCTGTTGCATCTGAAATGCACCACTGGTTTAGAAGGACTGCTAGCACAACAACCATATACTGGTATGTCAAAGAACCACTTTGCCACATGATTTAACATTTGTAACTGTGTGTAACTGGTAAGTCAACCACCAAATTACTTTTTGGTGAATTGGATTCATCATTGAGGCAAATTGTAGCTTCCAGGCAACTCCTGC